GGACACCCGCAGAGCACAGATATCAGCTTATTCCCAGTTGAATCTATTAACATGAACATTGCAGCTGTAATATGCTGATATTGATTATACTTATATGTCAGTCCTTTTGAAGTAAACATGTTCCAGATGCTGTGAAGAGTAATTTATGATTATTGCACTTTTTTGTGTTCAGTTACTGTTTTCTTAATTCTTTTCCTTTCAGCATGAGATAATACAGTGTTCACAATACATAAATTTACCACAGTTTGTGTTAGATAGAAGAGTACTTCTGTTTACATGTAGCAGAAGTAATAAAAGTTCCCACTTCTTTTAAGTGAAATTCAAATTGAAGTTCTTGTAATAATATTGAATAATTTAGTCCTTTGGGGTAGGTAAGCACTCAGAGTGATATTTACCTACATTTCTTTGTAAACCTCATTGCTTGCTACTGGTAGTGTTAGACTGTTTACCACACTAAATTTTTATTAAATTTACAAAAGGTAATGTGTGTAAGTAGAATATAATTTTTTTTCCATTAACATTGAAATCAGAATGCTTATACATTACTGTGTTCTTCTCCAATTTTAATGGGCAGAAACACAACAGTAATAATTTATAATGTTATAAAATATTCTCGGGTGATCAGCCATACCAGTATCGAGTCAAAAACCAATGTTTCAGAGACTAGCTCTGGGTGACTGGATCAGTAGAACCACTGGAATTTCTTCCCATACTGAAACTGGTTTTATAATTCATTAGTATAATTATTTTAAATTCCAGGTCTTTAGAGAAAGTGTGGTGTATTTAAGAGTAGAAACGTGAAAACGCAAACAAATGTTGAAGATTACTTTTTATCTACAAGTTACTATGTTTGAGTATCAGAGTAATGTGTGAGCATTCTAAAAATTAATTAAATATGATTTAAAATTAAATTCGCTGAATGCCAACAAAATTGTTAAAGTATAAATTGCACATGAGTAAAACCATCACAAATGTGTGATAACACTAAACAGTAACTATATTCTTGTAAATCCTGTGATTTTTGTTTTCAGGAAATGTGTAATAGTAGTACTCACATTCAGTCATTTATAAAACTTAAGTAAGTAAACAAGAACTTTAGGAGGCGTATGAAGCAGCTACCATGGTGTGATGTATGTGCATCTTTTTTTGGGTTGAATGTATGTGGTTTCGCCCTCAGTGTTGAAGAGTTGATGCAGCTTAATCAGCAGCAGAGACAGCAGCATCAGCAGGGTAGTCAACAGCAGCAGTCTTCACCTCAGCAGCAACAACAACAACAGCAGCAGCAGCAGCAACAACAACAACAACAACAACAGCCACAGGTGAATGCTGCGTCACCCCAACAACAGCAAACTGGGAGTCGAAGCACTGAGAGAGACAAGCAACTCATGCCTCCGCCCCCCCCACCTCCATCCTCCACAGGTTGGTAATCCCCTCCAATACCCTGCCCAAACCCCCTTGTCTCAATGACAGCGTGGAAACAGACCTTCCGGCTTTGCTCCAGCATTGGTATTGTTCAGGTGTAATAAAAATGTCATTGTTAGTTGTAGTTGCAAATAACTGTCTTCAGGTTTTCCCAAAGATTTGCATCTTATCTTGGCCGGATGAACAAGCAGAGTTCTGCAAGGTAATTGACAGGTACTGTTTTTCTGTCTTTGCTTACCCTAAAAACTTCATTATTTATTCAGTATTTGGAACAAAATTGTGGCATTAATGAAGAGTTTTGTTGTACCATAAAATGAATAGCCAGTCTACAAATTGATTAATATTGCCTGAAAATCCTTCTTTCTGCAGAAGCCACTTTTAAATGTACAGTAAAATTACTGTAGAGGGTGGATAGGTGTGGACTGGATTCATTTCGTTCAGGACCAGTGGTGGGCTCTTGTGAATGTGGTGATGAGCCATCAGATTCCACGAAGGGCAGGGAATTATTTATGTCTCTCATTCTGACTTCATATCTCCATATCTTTATTTTGATACATTTTGTGTTTATATAAATTTTTGAACAGACATGAAAGTTGTGGGTAAAGAATGCAAAATAAATTACCTTATTGTGTTTATATTTTGCTTAAGAGATGTGTGAATATTGGAACTGTAATGAAGTTTTTTGAGTAAACACAGAACTAGGTGATTTAAGTTGAATAGACTAATATCTAATGTATGCTTTGATGCAGATTTAAAGAACCTCTTTAAAAGGGAAGATTCAGATGCAAAAGTTGGTGCAGGCAGAAGATTGGTGGTGAAGTCACTGAGTAATATTGCTTCCTCTTACACAAACTTATAATGCGCTTGGTTCATTTCAATATTAGTTTTCATACTTTGTTTGGTTAGGTTAACGGAGAATTCCATCTGTAAAAGTTTACCAATGAAGCTTGCAAAAAGAATTCTACATGTAATTGTGCAGGTAAGCAGACATTAATGCAGTTAGTTTTCCAGAAACCAGTTAATGCTGAGTCAGAAGAATGTTAAAAATATTTTTTTTTATTATGGATTTTATTTATTTATTTTCCTTTTGCCATGTATAATTTCTTCAGACAGTTGTCTGGTTAAAGCAAGGGTATAAGAGGTAAGCTGCTGTAGTAATGTTGTTCAGTGTTGTCACATGTTTTACCACTGCACAGAATTTGTGTCTTTATAATTATAATCCATGAAACTCCATATAGGTATGCTAAGTGATATTGAAAATAAACATGGCAATTTTTGCAGTCTCTTTGCTGGTCACAGTTTGAATTATGAAGCACATTACTAAAACGTTTGGTCACAAGCTTGACTTATGAAATTTGCATTAATACCAGTTTGTTTGTAGTTATTCCTTCACTCTGAATGTGAACTGTAATGAATATGATTTTCCATTGATTAGGATGATGGTCATGGCATTGTCTCAGCATTTGCATTGAGAAACTGAGTGAAACTACTAAATATATCAGAGGTAAAATCTAGGTTTAGGAAGTGAATGTTTACATTATGCCTGGGGTGCATATTTTCATCATCAGGGGGCAGAGAATGACCTTCAGTGAAAGTAAGTGACCACAGCATGCAAAGTTTTTATCATTAATCTAATCATAGAAAAAACAAACTGGAAGAGTAAATCATATTTAATTTGTCATTGGGCAGTTGAGGGCTGCACAAAATGAATTGGCATATTCTGTGTTGTTAAGTTAATCTCTTAGGCCATTCAACCAATTGTACAAAATCTTTTGCAGTCTTATCTCATTAATTCCATATTATATTGATCTTCAGCATCAGATGTTTTGTAGCATGCATCATAGTGCTTCTCCAAGATATGTAGGTCTGGGACATCTGGAATTGGTATCAGGACTTCAGATTAATTTTCCAGTTGAAAATGGCTCTTTTCTGCGATGTTGCACCATGTATCATTTCCCTGATTCTGGAGGCAAGAAGCTCCTCTGAAATAGTGGTCAGTATCTACTGGAATGCATGGTGCAACTTCCCATAAGACATCCATTTTCGTGCAAATCACTGCAAGAATCTGAAATCTCACCTGACTTTCAGCTTAATTGCTGAAAACGAAGACAGTGCGGTATCATATTTGGCAAGTCTCACATTAAGAGTCTTGGCCCAGAGACTATACATGTTGAGGTTTCTTGTGGGTTTCCTCAGCCACTCATATCAAATGCTGGGATAGTATCTTAACCCTTCTTTCTTTGTTCAAATTTTGTAGTGAAGCACTGCGAATATATAGATGTTATTACATGACCTTAGTACTGAAACTCAGCATGATTGTCCTTGAAGCCATCACAACAGAGAGAAACACCTAAATACTTCAAGCACAACATAAATTTTATCCACTGTCACTGGTCTCAAAGCCTACAGTTGAAGATCTTGGTTTGAAAACATGCTTATTGTTATAATGTGAATTGTTTCTCGTAACATTTGGTTGTGGTTAGTGTCTTCTACAAATCCTTAAATTCAGAATTTTGCAAAATGTCTTTTATGTCCTATGCTGTGCCCTGCAGCCAATGTCCAACTATATTTCCATTTGTCCAGTAATTTTGCATGTCTTCCAGCATAACTTACATATTGTTGTCATTGCTGTCTAGTCTATTCATCATCATCATGATGGTGATGCATTACTGTGTTAGCACATAATCTTGATAAAATTTGTTCTGAATTACTTGAGATTATTGGATGTTGAAGCAGCCTTACAGTTAGTATATCAAAGTAGTCATTCATAATGAAGATTACAGTTTGAGACCTGTGTGTGATGGCTTTACAATCATTGTTACTCAGTTGTAAATATGTACAAACAGAACCTCTTGATATACAGAGTGGGCCAAAAGTTGCACCCCATAGGGATTTTAAGTAATACAGGGAAAAATCATAACAAATGTTTAAATTATTGGCCATTAACTTTAAAACACTTTTGTATTTGACAAACATAATACCTGAACAAATGGGCTGGGCATGTAGCGCGCATGAATGAGACAAGAGGTGTGCACCGGGTATTGGTTGGGAAGCCTGAGGGGAAGAGACCGCTGGGGAGACCTAGACGTAGATGGGAGGATAATCTCAGGCGGGATCTATGGGAGACAGGAGTTGAAGGAGACTGGATTTTGTTGGCCCAGGACAGGGTCCGGTGGAGGGCTTTGGTTAATTCGGTGATGAACCTTCGGGTTCGGTAAGCCATCTAGTTAGTTAATACTTGAACAAAATAATCCAGTTTACATTTTTTCTGATATTTCCCTTCTTGAAAAACAACTTTGGTCTTGCCTATGTTCTTCTAATATCATTAGTTACCATGGTATAGAAAATATTTTCTCTGGGACTGGAACCCAGGACACTTTCAGGTATGTGACCTTTATTCCTGCAATCTCCTTGCTGAAACAATTTTGGTTTTGGTGCCTCCTTTAGTGCTTAGTTTCTGATTTACAAAAAAGATTTTCATTGGAACTCAAACCCAGGACACATTTTTCAGAGTTTTGACCTTTCTAAAATCTTTTCCTGGTTTCAGGGCATAAACGCTAAGTTTGCAGCTATGAGCAAACATACATATCCACAAACAATTTTATATATAAGATGGCAGTTTTAGTAATATCACTTGGCATTGTTAGTGTATCAGAAGGTAACTAAGAGATTGTTATTAATTTGTATTTTTTGTTTAACATATATTACAAGTATTCACAAAACTGTGTTGGTAACAGTACTAATGATAATTTGTCTATTTGATGTTGTGATTGATGATATAGGAGCAATAATGATCTCTTAGTAGAGCTGTACATCATAAATTAATGTTTGAATTTGGATGTAATCATAAAATGAAGGAATACTGAGGTTCCAGTACTGTTTTTGTATTAGGAATATTAAACTTGTAGGAGAGGTGTTGAGTGGTGTTGTCTCACATACAGCGGAAAGAAAGAGTCAAGAAAATCCATATAGATTGACTGCTTCACCTGTGTGTGTGTTTTTTCTTGGGAATGTGGTGTTAAGTTACAGAATTGGTACAAACTGGATATGCTGTGCTTTTTTGGGAAACTTGAGCTATGTGGTTCTGTGCTGTTGATTGTGCACTCTTGAGTATCTTTCCTGTTTGGTTTGCATGTAATGAAAGATGTTGAACCTTTTTCACATGTGCTTCTGTAATTTACTTAGCAAACTTTGCTTTGTTTTTCAGTTCAGAAATAAGGTAGTAAGTTGAAAGTTAAGCTTGGAAACCTTGAATTTAAACCTACTTCCTGCCTGTAACTGTAACTAAGGTGGTATTATTACACATTAATGTAATTATATGCGAACACATTCCACAGTTGTATTCAGTTATATGTGTATGAATTTACATTAGTTTTACAAGGAAATTTGTTTAGCTTTGGAACATCTGGACTTAAAAGTCAGGCATGGATAACTTGGAGAAAATTTTGAATTTATTCTCAGCCTTGGCTGTAGATGGAGTTGAGTTGTCAGCCCCATATACTGTCTGCTTTTAGTCTTGTAGGAGGGTAAGTGTACTCATTGCTTGTGAGTGGTTTCCAGTGCCGTACTGAACATGGTGAAGGCAGTAACATCAGTACCCCAGATGTTGACTCTGGAGTCTTTCTCTTTTGCACTGAACTGCATGGTGTAGAATGATTTATCAAAAAAAATAAGTTTCAGAGTCTGTTTTTAAAGTGATTGTATATATCCTCATGGTAGTTGTAAAATTTAATCATAGTATGGAATACGCTATAAACATTAGTGGTATGTATGTGAATTTTTTATACACAAAGTATTTTGAAATATGTGTAAAGGAGGATCAGTGTCTTGAAGTATTGACATTTTTATTGACAAGAATTTTGTGACACATAATGAAACTTATTAATCCATTGGCTTGCAATATGCATAAAAATTATTATAAAAAAGTTTAAAGACCTGTACTTTCACATTTCTGTAAAGATTTTTATGCAGTTCTGTTCTGTATTTGGAAGCATTTCCTTTACATGTGGTTATTTCCATTCTTTTATATTTGTTCTTTGTTTTATTGTAAATTTAGCATTAATACTAATTTAATACTAATACTCACATATCCAAGGGCATGAAAATGTGGCCAAAAATATTTCTATGTGTCACAGGATGTTTAAAACTTGATTTACAGTTCTGTTGTTGCCTGTACTTTCTGTAGTTTTTTAAATTTCCTTTTTAGTAATGTTCAGAACTAAAAGTAACAAAAATGTGCATGTTAACTTCACCCTATCTGTCTGTCTGTCTGTCTGTCCGTCCACCCATTTATGTACTGGGGATCTAACAAAAATACGACACTTTGAATAAATCCAAACATACATGCAAATTAACGGTTTGCTTTAGGGCTCTGTTCTATATGAATTGTACCATGGTGTTTATTTCAAGAAAACTGCATGCTGTATGAATAAGACAGTAGGATTATGTGTAGTTATGGGTTTAAAATGTAGATGTTATTAGTGCATGTGATTAATTATTGGGGAACTTAAGTTGTCTGTTGAAGCATGTTGTGGTGGTGGAATCTGTGTTGTTATTGCTTCAAAGTTACATTGCACATGTGAAACTGAATACTGTATCATACACACATCTAATAGTAAATTGTAGCAATTACCTATTTAACAAACTTTGGTGAAACCAGTTTAATGTTTTATATACACAGTTGTGAATGAAATTATTGGGATGCAGTTGTATAGTAAGATATAGTGCAAGTGGAAGAGTCAGATGCTTCTTCTGTAAGTCAGGCCCATGGAAATTGGGCCAGCTAGCAAAACCAATAGACCTGCAGCATAAACACACTACAAGTAAAACTTACCAAGACTACAAAAGACACTGGAAATTCTTATCAGTGTTCTGCACATATTCCTGGTACATCTGTAAAACTTTCCATTCACACTTTGAAATTCTTCTTTGGAAAAAAAGATAATATGTCCCGTTGGACATTTTCCTTCATCTGTACATTTGTCTGTGATTCTGATATATAAACTGCTTTATGGTTCTTCATGAATAAAAGTCAATATTTGTATTCACACCACAGTATACACCAACTTTCATGTCATGTAGTGAAATCTTGTTTTGCAATTGGTCTCAGATTGTGTGTACTCCAGTATCTGCTGTTATGCAAATTTACCTTTCGTTGTAGTGAAACCAAGTCTTGGCAGATAAGAAACTCAAGTGCGGGTTAATTTCACCCCCATGAACAGACTGAAGGATCCAGTTATGAGCATTCACTATACTAGTGGAATCACATGAATTGTTTAATGATGCTATTAATAGCTCAAACTATATAATGTTGACCAGTAGCATATTCATTGCTAATTGTATACAATGTTTGTATCTAGGCAAAAAAAACCCATGAACTTTGTGGAGTTATTTGTGTTCACAAATGATTATACAGTAAACATTTTGCTGAAATTGGACCATTTGTCTTCAAGATGTGAGTGAACCATCACATCTCCATTCAGTCAAAAATTGTACTTAAGTATGATGTCCAGAAATAGTCTTAGTATAGTTATGTATGATATGAAGCGCTTGCAGTGGCTAAATGCAATAAAATCCCATCAGTTGGTTAAAAGAAGAGATTGATGTTTTGGGAATCATCTCCATCCCCATCATCAGGTTCTGATGTACATCAGAACCTTCTTTTAACTAATTGTTAGGGCTGATTGCCTGAGAGAATTTTACTGAGTGTACAGTTAAAATGAATTTGTTACATTTTAAGCTGATGTTTTTTATAATAAACAAGAATTAAATAATCATATTTTACCTTTTAGCAGCCTGCAGCCATTATGATTCTGTATGATTCGTTTCATCAAAGTTTGTACCCAATAAAAGCAAGCATGTTTGCATGAAATAGGACTGGGTTGATAAAGCTTTGCTGTTGCTGCCAGCATATATTTCCAGTTGGTGCCAAATACAGACTGATCTGTTTTTGAGTATTCCTGATTGGGGTTACTTGAACGTCATATGTGTTCGTCCTTATGATTTTTACTTTCAGAAAGCCACATTTGATGCCTAATTTAAAAAAATAATCCAGTGATTTAAATAATTTGGTGTGGATGATTTGCAGCTGTTGGTGATAAGTGATGATGGAGTTTGTGTTTGAAGCAAAATGTATTCTTTTAATAATTTTATTTTTACAGCAGATTGCAGTTCTGATGTTAGAAGTTATATAATCATGTTCAATAAAATAAGGAATAATGAAAGAACTGTAACATTTTTCAGAATTTTAATCTCATTCATTGAAATGGTGAATAGAATGTTGAAAGAAAGTATATCATTCTTTCATTATTTTTAACTGTTATTTGTAATTCTCATACAACTTTTTCTGTTTTTTGTTTCCCAATTTAACTCATCATTAAACGTCACCGTTACCAATCCTTTAATGCTGTGTGCAACATCCCTTTCTTGCAACTGCCTGTACCTAAAGCAGGTGACAAGAGACCGGGGGAACAGGAGATGAATGTCAAGAGGATTAAGGCAGGACCAGGCAAGTGAATTATTTCATACATTAAATTGATGGTTGCATGAAATTCCTCAGCTTACCCAGGCAAATACCAGGCAGTACCCTGAGATAGGATATTCAGGGGATTCTTGCTATAGTGCTGTTCAGTATCTTTTGTCTTTCTGTGTGTCATTAAAAATATAAAGATTAAAATATACACAACAATAATTTCACCTTTTCTTTGCATGGGTCTTATATTAAGGGAATAACACAGTTAAAACATGTTTGAGATTTTTATTTTATCATTAGGTTTCGCCTTAGATGAAGGAGAGGAAAGTGAACGAGAGAGGGAGAGGGAAGACACCGAAGGGAACAGCCAGACCTCAGGAGCAAGTAGCGGGAATCATCGTGGAGGGAGCGGAGATTTTCAGCACCATTCACAACAGCGAGGTGCACCAGGCAGTCGAGACCGACCTTCCTTTAATCATTATTCTTCTAAACCACAGCTTTATAATGCAAGTTTACCATTCCATATGCATGGTATTAATATGTACCCTCCACCCCCTCCACCACCACCACCTAATTCACAACAAGCGCAACAGCAAGGTTTACTTCAGCCTCCCCCTCCACCACCGCCACCCCCACAGCATCATCCCCATCAGCATCAATACCCTTATTACGCACCTCAAGGCCAGTATCAGTACAGTCCATATTGGATGATGCCACAGTAGCTACTGGCAAATCAGCGTTACAGGATGTTGTGTTATAAGTACCTGGCAGAACTGTGAGATAAATATGTTTCAATTATGGGCTGGTCCAAACATAGATCTAATGAACGTAAGCCTGGGTTTGATAAAAAGAACGGGGTAGATGACCCTTAGAAGATGACTACACTTATGAATTTTCCTTAGATGTTAGCAGTCTCACTAATATTTTAGATCTCATATTGTGTGGCATTGCTCAATCTTGTTGACTTTTATTTTAATGGCTTGTAGTTAACATACTGATATTTAGGCTCAAACTGTTATGTTTTTTGTGTAACAGTCATGATTCCTTTGTTAATGAAAGAAACCTTCTCAGCTGCTTGATCCCTATGCAAACTCCTCCTTCACCTCATCCTGCATGAGTTACCCCCAAGTTTTTAGGAAAGCCATGGGTGTTTATGGCTTGTAGCTACTAGGTTTGTCTTCTATGTCCACAACACACGAATGGCTCAGTGGATTTTCATGAATTTCATACTGGAAAGTTTTATTAAAATCTGTCAAAACATTCCAATTTTGGTTAAAAATCAGACTATAATGGGCACTTTACATGAAGACTGCATGTGTTTCTGCATATGAAAGTGACTGGCTTGGGAATCCCCAACCAGATATGGCCTGTGCAACTGTGTGAGGGAACCTTCGTGATGGAGTCATCAGCCAGACAGGCAGGCACCTATGCAGCCATGTGGGGAATTCTGACTCATCAGTGGGTGCCATTCTCAAAAATCAAATCCTGGTGAACACATCAGTAATGTGCTATGTGCACATAACCTTTATGATTACCACTCCTGAAAGGCTGTTATGTCACAGTTTTATCAGTACTTCTGTAAGGCAGTTGCATAGGATATAGGTGGTATCACCCTTTTTATCATCAGGACTGTTGTAGGGTCATGGTGTGGGGTGGAGATGGTGTCACCCTTTTCATTGTCAGCACTCCTGTGAGGCTGTTGGTGTGAGGGACATGTGGTGTCATCTGCTTTATTGTCATAACTGCACAGCAGTTGGTGTTACCATTTTTGACATCAGTAATTATATGAGGTGCTTGGTGTTGGTGAAGATGACTTAACCCTTTCTGCATCAGCAATTTCATGAGGTGGATATTTTGTCCCCTTTTAAGTACATTTTCTACTGAAAGTTTAACAAATTTGAAGTATCTTCCATGATGACATCATCACCCAGCCAGACATCCCTGCCCATGCAGTAGTCATTGACCACAGATAAGCCCGATATCACTGGTGCCATGGAAGGATATTAAAACCATTCAGAAGTAATAAAATCAAAACATATTACATTGTCCATGACAATTGTTGATTACTCATATTATAGTAATTGTTACACATAGGTGATCCTCTAAAAGACACTAAAAGCACACAGTATTTTTGCACACTGATCTGAATATCTTTTGAGTTGTGAAGCAAGGAAATAGAAAAATTCCATATAAGTTGGAGCTGAATTTAGAAGCCAATATCTACAGAGAATACTAATGAAAGTATGGGAATGTGAAATGGGATAGTGTCAATTAGGTGCATACATGTTAAAAACTTGTCTTGGAACAAACTTGTTCGGTTCATCATTTTGTAGAAGGAATATTCAGTAGATTCCAGTTAATTGGGACACATTGGTACTAGAACACTTTGCCACAATTAAGCGGCTGCCCCAGTTTGTCCTTTAAGATTTGTCCCAAATAAACGGCTCCCCCATTAACCGAAATCTACTGTACTTATATTCTAGGTCAGCGTTTCTCAATTTATGGTATGTGTACCACTGGTGGTATGTGTTAAATTAGAATTAGTGGTACGCCAGCAAAAAGGGTTGAGAATCCCTCTTCTAGATCATAACAATTTGTTGTAAATTAAAAGTATGTCATTCTGCTTGCCAAAACAAGCGTTCCTACGTACTTTCGTTATGCATCAGAATCTCTGTGGCCAGTGATCAGCTGTCTGATTTTCACACTCTAGACTTCTTATTCTAATTGACCACTGCAGTTAGTTTAACAATATAACATTATTTACAGTATTAGAACTTTGCAAAGACTTGCCCATTTATTATGAAACATTTTTAAAGTCTTTAGAACTACAGCTGGATGAATGTTAATGTAATTTTTTTGTCATAAATGCTAAAGTACCACATTTGCCTATGCAGTAGATATGCAAGTAGTTTTTATCGTTGTTGTCATCTGTAGAGATGGAAGAAGTAACATCTGCCATAATGGTTTTGACCCGTGATAAATATGGCTATGATAGGCTTAGCAACTGAACAGTCGATAATGAATTGCTTTGACAGACAAAGCCTTCTTGGAAGGGATTCACATATACATTATGTCTCTACTATAGTATTGGATGATATTCAGTCAATGCCAAGTAGCAAGGGAGAAGGGAAGCCCTGTACAAACAGATCTGTATTTGAAATGGTGTTCACGACAATGCCTAGGTTTCTTTTCTTTTGTCAGATAAGCTTGAGGTTATATGTGACTACTCTTTAAATTACCCCATAATTTTATATGCAGAATGTACATTTATGAAGTGTCTGTGATACACATTTGTCTGGACATGAGTGGAAGTGCATACTACTTGAATTTGGAATTGCATAATTTCCCAGAAACATTCTTTGCGGCTTTTCGTGTGTGCGTCTGATAAAATCTTGATGTTCATTTATTGCAGAGCTTATCAACACCCACATATTTTGCACCAGTAGAGACAAATTTTTCCCTTATATTTTCTTATAGATGCATTTGAAAATATTTGAAATAAAGTTACAGATCTAAACAAGGTCTGTTATTTGGGACTAGACTTTGGCTGCTGGCCAGACTTTAAATCCAGAGTTTATGGTTTAGTGTCATGCTTGGTCAGCTGAATCACATGAAATCATGATGTGCTAGTGATAAAGTTGAATTTCCTTATACAAGAGCCTTGCCGTAATGATTAAGGGCTAAAGAGCTACCTATTGCATAGGTAAATGTGGTATTTGTGTCATCAGTTAAGGGAAAGTGTGAGTTTAAAACTGAATGTTTTAAAAATGTACATTGTTACAGTTTTAATGGTACATATTTTGTAAATAATTGTATTATTATGACTGATTTATTGGTGCAGACACAACCACATTTAATATTGCCTGAAAACTATGAAATATGTTGTAAAATCTCTTTTACTTCCTTATGATATGATCACCTTTGTTAAGTCACTAGGTTGACTGTGTACCTGTTATCTCTTTAACAAATTTGCAGCCTATGCTGACATTATCAATTCATATATTTCTGGCATTGGATCTGTAGTTTTTAAAAATCATATACTCACACATCAAGTGATGCACAAGATTTTGAGAAAAAGCATTAATTGGGGTCACTTTACTATTGTGTACATGAAATGTGTGACAGTTTCTTTCCTATGAGCTTCATTTAGCTTTTGTATATAGATATTCAAAATTGTCCTAATTATGAACATATGTAAGTTCTTGGCCAACTTTAATCTGACATCCTTTTGCACATGTACCATTTTCAGTTTTACATTCCGTGAGATCCTCGCACACAGCTTCGGCTTTTGCTACATTGTCAGAGCTTCCATCACCTAGACTCTTTCCAGACATGGGAAAGAGATTAAATATTTGAGTTTTTATAGCACAAAAGGCATAAAAATGCAATAATCACACACTTTAAATATGGCTGAGAAGAAATTGAGTGTAGAGTGACAGCATTAATAGCTGCATGTGTTGTTAGCTGAGGGAGGTATGAAATACTATACAACTTTCTCATTTGCTGAGAGAATACAAATGTGCAAAAATGGCATGTTTACATAAATGACATTTGACTATGGTTTGTTAATTTTGTCATTTATAGTACTTCAAAAATTTTCAAGATCATCAGCACTAGTGTTAAATGAAGCAGAGCTGTGGGGGATCTAAGTGTTTAAAAAAACAGGAAATAACAGTTTAAGGTTAAAGTACTGGATTCTCATTCACAGCATCTCAGTTTGTGCTTGCTTTTGTGCTCACAGATCGAAGCCTTTACTACTGCCAATACTTAGAAACTAGTGAACAGAATATCCTACATTAAACTGTAGTTCTGTTTTCTTCTTGCGAGTGGTGCATTTCAACCCATAGCTACTCTCAGCTAACAAATGTTTTCGCCTTGTCTGCATAATGTCAGGCGTTTGAGATATATTTTCTGTTTTCCAACTTACTTTCTCATCAGATGGCAGATCAAATTTCCTCAATGCTAAGACAGCTTAAGAAACAGTCCCTAGGTTTGTAAGAATACATTATATACTGGATTATAGTAATGTGGACTTTGTATTATTTTTGTATAATAGTTTTACTTAAGCAGCCTTTGCTTATGTTGTAGCTGAGAGATTGTGCTACTGTATCAAAGACTGTACAAGCATGTAATGTTAGAGGTTCCAAATCAATGAAAGGTGAAACTTCATACAGAAGACATGATACAATAAGACAAGTTTTGTTATTCTTTTTCATGAGAATATGTTGGATGAACAGTGTAAAGGTAAAAGGATGAAATATCCTGGTACTGCTGTGTAAAAAAGAAATATATATTTTTATGGTCCAGCCTGGTCCATTTTGAGACAGCTAAATTGAAATAAGGACAAGGTAGGATAGAATTATAGACAAATATATGAAGGTAAGCATGTTTATTGGAAAACTGAAGTAGTGTATTACAACTGCATAACTTCCACACACACGACTGCCAACTTACATTAGAAATTAAACGTTTTTGTATGTACAAAACGTAAATTATATTTACCTTTTCATCCTTCACTTGATGCCATTTTTATGCTGACTGAATTCAATTAGTACATGCTCTCCTATGAACAATATTGCAGCATATAGCAGTTTCATGCCATTTTATGACTTTTGTATAATAGGAATATGAAAAATTGTAGGTATCAAGTATTTTTTAGTTCATTATACTATTTTCATAGCCATAAAAACAAAGCAAATTTATGACTTATAGTTTATGAGTGCATACTTATAATACTTAAATAGTATAATTTCTTTAAGGAAATGCAAATTATAAATAGAAATAAAGGGTTATTCCTTGCTTGTTTTGAAGGAACATTGCACATTATTGTTTCTCTTTAAGTATAAAATATTATTTCTGGAATCTGACCATCCTCTACTGAAGTTCCATTGTTATTTCCTGCAGCATAGGAAAACTGGAAGGTCACTTTCCCAATACTTGGACAGTCTAATGTCACTTTGCGCAGACCTTTAGTTCCATAATGTGAATCAGGTCCCTGGAAATCAATATATACAACTTCAATACTAAAGGTAGTTTTAAAAGTTACTTAAGCTAGACCATGCATGTCATTACTCCAATATACATTCAAGCATATCTTGCACTCCTATTGGTACTGTACATATATTGTGGGGTTGTAAAGGATCAGAATGTGTGGGTTACAATAAAAAAAACACCCTGTAACTTACTCCTAAAACCAACATTTTCAATCAGAAACAGACTCTTTAGGATACAAAACTGTGTGATATGTCTCAGACTGAACTCCCACTTTTCCTCAGCCCAGCTAACATTTTCCTCTTGTCAATATCATTCCAACACTACCCCATACTTACTCATATATCATATGAAGGCTAGACAATGGCCCATAAGTGGTTGCGGTTGTGTACACAGTCTGCCTCCCTTGCAACTACATTAAAAGTTAGTTAATTGAATTCTAGGGTCAATACACCTCATGACAAGGCCATTCCCTAAAATATTTACAATTGAGCGCACAACTTGCATTATGCCGGATGAAGACAACTGGAGAAAAAGTCTCTAACCTTGAGAGTAGCAGATGCTGTGTAACTAGTATTCGGATGTATTTCTACAGGTTCCTTAAACATGACCCGGAAAGTATAGTTTGAGCCATCACAACTGAAACTTGTGTTGTTTGACCCACAGACCTTCCCAGAAGAAGTGTGGATTACTTGTAAGTTCACATGATATTCTGTTGGACCATGTATTGAACCATACAGACCGAAGCCCACTACGAAAATGCGACGATCCACAAGAAATCTGCAAAAATAAAATTCACAAATTACTGCTATTAAATGTATTCAGGGATACAAATAATAGCAGGTTTAAATTAACTGGGAATATGTACAAATCCATTTTTATATAATCTTCCTATTTATGTCTAGGTCTTCCAGGTGGTATCTTCATCTGAGGACTTTACTTTTAAGATTTGGTATAAATTTTCCATTTACTTGCCCTACCCACCCAGTTCTCTTTCATTTATTCAACCTAACAATATAAGGAGTATAGCTACCCATTGTGATTCCTGTAATTACCTGTTACTCTTATCTCCCCTTAGGCTCAATTCCTTCCTTACCACTCTGTTCTCAAACACATCAATTTAGATTCCTTCCAGAGTTCAATGTAATGGTAAGTATAAATATGTATAAATTTCAACAGATGATAACTGATAGAATGTACAAAGCTTTAACAGCAATAACAGGAATTACTGCAGGTACATCGACTGGAAAGCAGTACATAAAATTTTTTAGTATTACTATACCGAATACGATCACTGGTGCCACTGTATCCCCATCGATTTTCAATCTGTTGGAATCTGTTCACAGTCTGTTCCTTTCCAGTCATGCAACAACGAGGAACCTCAAGGAAGCTAACTGCTGGTTTTGGATTCACTGTGAAGTACAGGAAGAGTGAGACAACCTCTCTATCACTCAGAAGACCTGACTGTGCGGCACCTACTGCAAACTCTTCCACTGACATGAGCGGAAATCGCACCAGTGACAATGCCCTTCCCAGAACTGAACGTTTATTATCTGGAGTTGCTGGCAACTGTTGTCTACTACACTCTGCTTCGGACCATCTGCACAGAAACAATAAGTTATTGCACAATCTAATGATTACAATTATCAGGATAACTCACAGTTCTGAACTTTTCTCTTTACTTGTGTATTAATTTAGTTGTGTGATAACTAACGAGTCCGCCTATTGAGGATAATTTAATAGCCTTTTCTTTCTGTTTATCAGAATTGCATTGCATTTTAATTTAACTAACTCATACCTGACTACAGCCTGGAAAAGTTTGGCTTCACGTATCCTTAAAGTGTCTCTCTCCAAAACAGCATTCAATGTGTCTAGGTCAATGTCTGTGAACCCATCTGCTGCAAGAGCATCTGTAGTATTTTTATCAATCATTTCAAGGCACAGAGCAGCGAGCTGAGGCTCATCAAATAACCTTGCCTGGGTGAGCAGCATAAATGCATTATCACTACCCAGGTTACTCTTCAGAAAATCAACACAGTGCTTCTCAAGTGCAGGAACTGCATATTTTTTTGCTGTATACAAAGTGGTCATCACAGTTTCTGGTCCAATTTGAACTTCATCTGAATACAAAAACCTGTTAAGTAAATGTTATCAGCATTAAAACAGGGTGTAAATTCTTTAAGCAGAATAGAGGTCTTAATTAAAACATAATTTAAAAATCCTTTGTAAGATAATGAAACATAGTAACATAAACAGTAGGTAAATTTAAAATACATACACAATCATAAATATTAACATAATGCTAAAGAGCAGTTCGTTACAGAGATGCTGACATTCTTACTCATGCTGCATCTTGTGAAATACTGGAAACTGAGTACAGTGTGATGTGGGATGGAAGTGCGAAGTAAAATAGTTCAAGAGGTGGGATCGAATGGCCATCATCCAACACACTATTGAAGCACTGTGAACAATAATAATTTGGAGTCCATCTTGAATAATTAACTGAAGAAGAGTTGAGTTACACATATAATGAAAACTGTGGACTAAGCCCAATGTGAGAATAATCAATAGAAGGCAGTGGTTCTGTATGTGTGTATGTGTTTGGGAAGGGATGCACCGAACATACATTTCAAATACCAAGCTGCACTGGTTCCCTGTTGAACTAAAGAGTAAATATAAATTTTGTGTGATCTGTACATGTAGTCTTCAGAAATACTGTAATTTTTCTAAGGTTCATGACCAAATAATATTTAATGACTCCATAATGATATAGGGCTAGTGTTACTCCAAATCTATGCTAGTCGTAGTAGGGAATTAAAAACTATAATGATGTAACAGCATGCTATGGCACAATTTTCATATAAAGTTATCAGGAATGTGACACGATAACACATGCCAATCTTTTCTTATAAAACAGGACAGTGAGCTTAAATGACCTACCCATTAGTGATGCTGCATTTATCTCAAAGATTGTATTTTTTTATATTACCTGAGTAAAGCAAGAAATGCTGCAGGCTCAACATCTGGAAGTTCTGTCTCATCAGCTTTTGTAGCTAATGTGCCATTAAACATAGCATCAAATACAGCACTACCAACTGACAGCACAAATTTGTGTGCTGGAATACGCTGTTGCTGTATATCACGACCTACTATAAAGTGAACATCACACAAGATCTCATTGTTGAACATGAAAGCAAACCGTTCCTTGACAGTTGGTTTGGTTGCCTGCCAGTTGTATACTGGATGACTGTCAGAATGAATGCTTTGTGTTGAACTGCAAGATTGGCTGGTGGAAGCTGAGCTGGATCCAGCAGAACTGTTGCTACACTGCCGTCTACTAGAGTGAGGATAACTGGTACTTCCCGACATTCCTTCTCTTTCCATTCCTGAAGAGTATATATGGCTCTGGTGATTGTTAGGGGCATTAGAAGGCAGCATGTTCTGAGGTACTGTATCAACTGATAAAAACTGTCCAGCATTTTGGTTCTGAGCATTTTCCTCCAATCTGATGTTACTTAATCTGGACACAGTTGAATTGCAAACTTCATTGGCAGAAATGCCAGTAGCCATCCTATAAAAACATTATAATAGTTCAGTTACTATACTAATCTTGTGATTCACCTGATTTATATTTTAAAACATTTCTGAACGTGGCTAATTTTCTATGTTACATTACATTCAATCTTAGTGACCTTCCTTACTTTACACGGAATAAAGTCAGTTTTCCACCGATTAGCATTTATTTCAAACAAGAGAATGGCAGTCTGCATGCAAATGATGATATGACATCTCTGTACAAGCCAACAGTTAAAATTAATCTTGTGGAAATTCATATTTTGTACACTTTTATAACTTTGACTTATAAAATATTCTATGTTACAGTAGTAGATTTCTCCATAAACGGTTATTTTTCTATATATCAAAGGTGACCAATCAGGCAGGTAATTATTATGATTTAGGTACACTAATATTAATTAAAAATTTACCAAGAAATATAAACAGTGTAGAATTTCTGAACAACTTTATTAAAGAAAACACAGAAATAAGAGTAAGTTTGCCCTTTCTTTTGAAACTAAAATATGATGTTGGAAGCAATTTACATTTACTTTGCTCTTTTGTGTCACATATATGGAGATGTATTACAACTTAACCAAACTTTAGAACAATACTGTTACTCCTTGAATTCCTTTCACAGCATTATAAAACAAGTAGAAAATCCTGACTACACATCAGCTATAAATGTCAATATGAAATGTAACAATGAAGGCCAGTGTAAAAACCAGAATTACAGACACTTCAATAAAATTTATGAGAAGGGCGTTGGATTAAACATGTTGACAGAATGCAAAAGGCCAGACTTCTTAATCTATTCACAAATTATAACCTACATAGATTGCGGAACTACAGAGACCTTTAAAGAGCCTTTTGGACGAAAGAGGCCAGAAAATGACAATAACTGGAGGAACTTCTTGACTGCTAGATGATGGTGGTCATGAATATGAAATTCCTTGTCATTTACCTTATGAAACACGCAAAAAACACTGTTGTGGGGAATTACTGGGGCTAAATAAGTATGATCTCTATACAACTGCAATTCAGGTATTTCACAACAGCGCCTTTGAAGAAAGAGTAACTTTTCTTCTACCTCGTAAACAAACAATCTAACAGCTGATAATTCTGCTAGCGTGAAGCTATCAATGATCAATAAAACATTTTGCAAACAAATGCTCAACCTATCCGAATAACAGCAAGATGCACGACGTGTTTTACAGCAACGCGTAAGTTCTGCAAGGAAGATTTTATGTTCTAATGCGGCACCATCAATACTGAATTACTGAAATTTCAGAAGTACAGAACATTCTGTGCTTTTCTTTGTTAGGCTCTAAGTATTATTTATGGCAGATATTTGAAGATTTATAGATATCCCCTGACAATTTAAAATAACCAACATTGGAGAAACTAATATCCTTCGTACTGGGATGGAAAACCTAAATTCCCTTTTACACTACGTTCCAGAAGGGTCACGAGATCTGAATACAATTAAAACAGTTACAGTATTTCCAACAGAGGGTGGCTGAGTAGGAGAATGATTGCAATACAGAATTGTTATCACCTCACCAAACGTAATGCGGTTTTTCCATATGACTGACGTTATTCAGCTGTCACGTGCAACACCAAAAATGGCGCGGTATTGTTTCGGTTGTTTCACGTGTTTCCGTAGTGGCCTGCCAAAGCTGTGTTTTTTCGTTGTTAATGTTCATTGCGTTCGATTTTTTGTGCGTTTCCTGACTTATTTGTTTAATATTTTATAAGGAAGAAGTAATGCATATAGCCCAGTTCGTGTTCATTCGTTACGTGTTTGTAGTCACGGTGGTGAAGTTAGTTTACGTAATGCTGTGGAGTGCCAAGTGTAGTGATGGTGGGGATGCATTTTTTCTAACTTCAGCAGTTCCGCCTTTGATGTCAGAGAAGTGATCTGTCGGATAAATAATGTGGTAAGTCTACTAGGGAATAAAGAATTTCTCATGAAGTTCTGGATGTGTCTGAGAACAGAGTGTAGTTCTTGCAGTTGCTTTCTTCGTTCAAAACGCTGCCTACTAATTATGTATGCATTAAATGCTACGGCTTTGAGGAGCCTGTAATCACTTTATTTCATAGGATACAAGCCTGATTTTATGATGACCACTATTTTGTCTTTCTCGATGCCTGTCTTCCGCGATTTCAGTAGAAACCACAGGGGTGTAAATACCGATTA